TTCAGGGAAATTGCTGTTTTTTGAAGCTTATTAACGACTACACTCCCGGAAACTAACATGGAAACCCAAAGAGGGCCCTATAAAGACTACAGTTCTTCTACAAGGGGACTATATGGGTTTCCATGTTAGTTTGGGGGAGTGTATTTAATCCGTTCAATGGGGGGAGTGGGGATCCTTTTGGGTAGTTCCCCTTTAGAACAGCGATTGTCTGGGCTGAGCCCGAGAGGCTTTCATCCAATTTGCAAACCTCGTCTCCAAAAATCAGAGCTGCAGGAAGTTCCAATGCGATTTTTTCTGAAACTCCAGACTCTAAACCTTAAACCCTACCCTAAACCCTGAACCATAAACCTCAAACCTCTTGGCAAGCAGGGATGAAACGTCAAGACTTAGCCGGCTGCACTCAAAGGCCAAGTGCTTGTTGGAGATTCCAAGCGGAGCAAACACTACCTCTGCATTCGGTTTGGGGTTTTGGGGGTTTAGGGTTTAGGGGTTACGGCTCAAGGTTGGGGGATGAGGGTGTAGGTGTAGGGTACTTCTCCCACCCAGTGAGAGCCTATACTAGAAAAAGATTCAAGGCTTTGCGTACTCATACTAGAATTCCTATCCAAGTAGTACTGAGTGGGGGCAATACCTCAGGATGTTCCAAAATCTTCCCTTTCCAGGATGACAATGATGATTGAACCCTAAACCCTAAACCGCCATCAACTAAAGCTCGTACTGAGGGCTCACTGCCCTGAGCCCTGTAGCCACCCTTGAGTAGATAGAATATGCGGTATATGGGGATCTTATTATAATATACCCAAAGCCAAATTCTATCTACTTCAGGGGGACTATAAACCCAGTTGGGAGGTGGATCCCTGCAAGTATCCCCCCCCATATGCTGCCTAGGTGCTGTATACCCCTCCCTAAACTCTAAACCCTAAATCCTAAACCCTAAGTTGAAAAAACCCTAAACCATCCTAAACCCTAAACCCCAAACCCTATTGGAATACTTCTATCCCCCCTGTGCCTTAAGCAACACTAAGGTAAATGAGTAGTGTTTTTTGGTGGTTGAGCCTAGTAAGATTATGTTCCTTATATAAAATACTATACCCCAAAAGGATGATATAATCTTACTCCATATTGGGTACCATGGTATCCCCAAAAAAATACTACTCAAATGGGAGTGTTTAGCTCTGATGCCAACCTGCAGGCTTCTGCCAGGATAGGAGTTAAAACAAAACAACGTGAACAAATTTCTCGTAGCACTATAATTAGTACGATGGTTACTATTCTTACAGCACTTACTATACTGTTACTACTATTTCTACTGTTGTTACTATTATTACTACTGTTTATTCTTGCTCTTTTAACTTTTATCAATAAAGGGATTCTGTTCCTGTGTCCCCTACTAAGCAGCAGCAAGCTTATGGGGATCTACGGTGGTTGCAATGACAAACCTGAGCACGCATGCTACTGATCTGACTACAGAATCTTCGGCGGCCTTTGGGGCAGTCCACCTTAATCCTCATGGAGATTACAAGGGTTTGGGGTGTCTGGGATTAAGGTTTATGGCGGGTGTAAGGGTTTAGGGTGTAAGGATGCTTGCCACATGGTGTAACTGAACATACCACGAAGTTGCGAATCATGCAACAAGACTCGGCTCGAATCGCTGGTGATTCCGGCCAGTTACCCTCCCCCGCCTCACCCAAAAGATCATAGAACCCAAAACGGCCAGAAAAACAAAGACGTCCTCTTGAAGGGTCTGTGGATTCCCACGTTTAGCCTGGGGGAGGGTACTGCTCTCGAAGCTGGAGCTTCTAGGGTGTACTGAAGGTTGAGTTTTTGGTTTTGGTTGAGGGTTTGGGGTTTAGGATTGGACACCAAAAAGACACACAAAAAGAAATCTTGGACAAAAGTTCATTGGATCAGGTTTTGCCCACCAAGTTGCTACAACGGTGATACATAGCGTCTAGGGTTACGTCTCGTCTCAAAATGTGAACAAGGTTCGGGAAGCTGTCACCCAGCGCTATAACAACCTCATCGCGGAACATCACACGAAATCGCAGACAAGCCACATCATTCTTGACCTGATGAGGTTTAGGGTTGAGGGGTTTAGGGGTTAGGGTTTAGGGTTTAGGGTTTAGGGTTTAGGGTTTAGGGTTTAGGGTTTGTTTCGTGATGCTTCTTGGATGCCACTACTACCCACTCCTATACCGGGGGGAACATTGGTCGTTGGACCCCCCCAACCAGTACTAGCAACTATATGGGATAATGGTGGTTATATGAAGGCCCTCTTATGTTCCTAGTTATTACCCAAAACCCTAAACCCTATACCGCGTGGGGGGTCCACCTAAAGGATGGGTTTTGATTGGCAAAGTGCAACTCCAGGTCAGAGGGATTCGCCAAAGGCCAAGAAGATCTTTCACATGAGCCATAACCTAAACTCCTTAGAGTCGGTTAGATAATGGATTATATAGGGGATTACTATAGGGGTCATGAAGGGGGATACTCGGAGTTTATAGACTATTGCTCACATGCACCTGTGGCTGAAGCTTTGGTGAAGGGATGTTTTGTTGAAGCTGTGGACTCTGCAAAAATGCACCCCACAGATCACATGACTCAAGTAATCCCCATGAGGAGGACCCTTGGTAACGCCAAAAATCTGTTCAAGGGGATTTTCACATGCCAGAACCACGAAGCGCGGGTGTCAAAAACAAACCTGTGCTTACTTCTCTTGCGAGATCCTGACATCTCCATGTAATCTGGATGTATTTATCAGGCCCCGACACCTTTAACCCCAATTAGCCAACCCTGAGCTACAACAAAAAAATGTAGAGGTACTTTGACTTGGACTTCTATGGTTGACCAGTAGCTGAAAATACCCTAAACCTTAAACCCTAATCTTAGGTCCAAATTGCACTTCCTGCATCCTGAAGATAACCATTACACTAGCTCACACAATCAAACCCTAGACTGTCATCTATAGCCCCCTGCTTCAAGGACAGTGTGTAGGGTTGTGCTAGCCAATCGGTGGCTATCTCTGGAAAGCTTTGGAATATTCAAATTTGGTCCAAAAAAGGTTCAAAATAGGATCCTGAAATAGCACAAAAATGGGACGGACTGAAATAGCACCCCCAAAACAAGATAGAAAGAACCAGCGGTGTCGTCGTCAAGCAGCCTACTCCAGCTAGGGAGCAGCATCCCCTTCGTAAAGGTTATGACGTCCTTAAAAAAAACCTTTGACAACGGGTATTTGGGGAGACCTGCAAGGTGGCGTCATTTCCGGAAGCGTTGGACCAATCTGGAATAAGATTACTAGCATGCCTCAGGAACAGGTTCTATGCAATGCACAATCTTTGGCCTTGAAGCAAAACTTCAGCTCGCGTGGATGATGGCTAAAGTATCATAATTCTGTCCATTGAAATTTCCCAACCATGTGCTGGTCCTATTATTTCCTCATTTGCGTTCCTATTTCGGACCTAGTTCCAGGAGAATTTAATTCATGTTGGCAAAATCCAATGCTAGCCACAACTGGCTATCACAAGTGTAGGGTTTATGGCTTAAGGGGTGAAACGCAGAGCCCTCAAGCCTGAACCCCTAAACCCCCATAATCCCAAACCCGCCAAAACCCCAAAACCCCTAAAGCCCAAAACCCTTACAACCCTGAATCCCTTAAAACCCTGAACCCCTAAACCCTAAACCCCAAATAGTATTTTCAACTTTCTTTTCCATTATCCCTATATAACCCCAAGCTGAGGGCTCGGCATAGCGGCCCGCGGCCACGGTCTCGCTTCCTCCCGCTGGCAGCTGGAAGTCTTTGGAGCTGCCAGCCAACTCCTGCTGCTATCCAGGAGTTTAGGATTTAGGATACACGGGTTTAGGGTTTAGGGTATGGAAATCAAGAGCTGGCTTCAGGGACCCTAAAGCCTAAACCCTGAGGGAAGGCTAGACTGTTGGGGCTTAAGGCTCTTGGATTTAGGGTTTTGGGTTTTTGTGGGTTCAGGGCTTAGGATGGAGAACATTGTGCGCCACGCAGTTAACGATCCCAACATACTGTAGACTTGCGTATAACCCGACTATAACCCCTAAGTCCACAGAGATGATTACAAATGGGCCATAACACAGGCATACTTCGGTTGTAATTCCATGAACCCTGTAAGCACGGAAAGAAAATATATCGCGAAGGGCTCATGACATGTATACTGGTAACTGTCAAGAACTACATGTTTTAAGCTTGTTGATGCCCAAGTGTCTGCTTCAAGGGACCTTGGACTTAGGGGGCTGCGCCATGCGCCATTAGGGCTTCGGTTATTTGCAGTTTAGGGGTGTTTTCTGTGGCGCTGGGCATCTGAGTAGCGCTATTTTTGGTGCTTAAACCCAGTAAGAATATATTCCTTATATAAATACTATACTTAAAAGGAGGACATAATCGGTACCACAATATCCCCAAATTAAATACTACTCATCTGGGTTTAAGGGCTTGTTTTTTTTTTGAAGCCAGCGGACTTTTACGCCTGCCGAAGCACTGGTTCTTTGAAAGGCTGGGCAACCACCATCATACTTGGCTTCCATCTGAGCTTGGGGTTTAGGGTTTAGGGTTTTAGGCGTGTCAAGAGGGATGAGGTCTAGGGCATTGGGATCAAGATCGCCGTTTGGCCTCAGCGCAAAAGGCCTAAGTACCTGTCTAGAATCCCTCTCTTACAGTTTTCAATGTTTGGGGCCACGCTTTTATCTACACGTAGAGGTCCAGGTAGTACTAACACCATTGGCTTGCACCTCCTTAGCAGCTCAATAACCAAGCGGTGAGCTCTACATTGAAGGTTCCAAATCGACACTTCAGGACCAAGATTGCGCTTGTAGGGGGGAGCATAAGGCGGCAGCCCAATCAGAGCCCCTTGCCAAGCCATCATTTTGTTTAGTTTGTGCTTTGTTAAATTAAGAGCCATTGCCCATGCTAGGCTCGCAATGCCCCGATTATCCATCGACGTAACTACAAGTGCACTAAATATGGGAGTTGGTCACATGCTCACCTGTAATCCAGAGTCCGCATGGAGCGTAAGATGTGCAGCCGACCCTCCGTATAGCCCAAGCCCTGCGTGCCTGACTGCCGAAAAGGAGGGAGAATTTGACGCCATCATAGCTTTCCTCCTCCTCTTCTTCCTGAGAAGCCCGGGTTCAGGGCTTTTCTTTAAAGTGCAGCTGCCCCAACTAATTGAAATTCTGGCTCAGCCAGGTTCCTCCAAGTAGAGGGTGTTGGGGGCTGTAGGGTGTGCGTTTGAGCAGCAAGAACACCTTCTAGAAAGGGCTTTACCCCCCACGTGTTCCCTGTATGCATGGAAGGCTGAGTTCTGTTTCGGAGAAGCAGGTGTTCCGAGGGGCGGTCTCTCACGTGAGGAGCGGAGATTCCGGGCGCAGAACGAAAGGGGCCATATCACAGATTTGCAGTTGAGATCTGGGGAAATCATGTTCCCAGATGTCCTAACAGACTGTCTACAGGATTGTATGAGAGCTTCGTAACGGCCTGTGTAGGATTGTATGAGAGCTTCGAACAGTGATCCCTGTTTAGTCTGTAAGGGCAACCCCATGCTCTTCTTGTGGCCTCAACAAATCCACGGTTCCAAGGGTTACAAGGCTACCCGTATCTCAGGAAACCTCCCGGAACCTAAGCCATAGACCCCGAACTTTGAGGTTTCAGGGTCTAGGGTTTAAGGTTTTAGGGTGTAGGAACCCCGGTAAACACCCCAAACCCTACATTAAAAGCTCCTGCTCCTTTTCCTCTTCCTGCTCTTCAGCGGCTACGCTTGTTTTTTCCTGGCCAGGGGGCTTTCAGGCTTTGGGGCACATTACTTGGAGGGTCAGGGGCACTTAGTAACTAGGTTAAGATGGGGATAACTAAGCTTACTATATGGGTTATAGGGGTTTTTAACCTACTAACTAAGTCCCCCTGACCCTCCAAGTATCTTATAATCATGAGGATTCTCTGAAATCAGGAACCCTATGTACATTCACTAAAGCCTGTAATGCGGCTCGGCGCCTGTGAAGTTGCAGAAGCCTTCCCTGCGATCATGTTAACCGTAGTCTACACTCCTGAAAGGCTGGTTAAAGGCCGGATATACAAGGGGTTATATAGGAGACCATCTTAGTGCTTATTAAGCGGGGGGATGCTAGGAATTCGAACTGTAGAACCCTAAACTCTGAAACTTACCTGTGGTTAGCAAGGACTGGAGGCAGGGATCTAAGTGTTTGGGTTTAGGGTTTAGGGTTTAAGGCCTCTTCCTCATCATCATCCTCAACGTCTGTCTTCTCCATGGGAGGATCCTCCTCTGCCTCAGCAGCCTTCAGGGGTGTTTATCTGTACTTGGAGTGTTTTGCCTTCGGGTCTATTTAAGGAGTGACCTGATACCTACTATGATAAGGGGATTTTGAGACCTCCAACCTGCAACCCCAAAACCTTCACAGTAAATCTCTTTGCATTAACCTGGCCTCAATATTCCTATTTTCAGGCAAGCTTACTGCATCATCTGGGTTGCTGTTAAGGAACTTAAATTAAGTTAATTACTATATTGGGGAAACCCTATTCTTTACTATATATATACCCAATATGG